GACAAAGGATCTCCAGGTCACCTGCCTGGGGCTCTGCAGCTTGTGCTGGCTCTGATGGCAGGGGAGGACTTGTGTGTAGGAAATGAGGAACTGCAGGAGAGCACAGAGGATCTGCAGGGACAGCCCGTCCCATCCAGTCAGCAGTGACTGGAGCCCTGGAGCAGAATCCTGCCCAGGGTGGAGTCACCCAGACAGAAAGTACTAAATCTTGCTGGGAAGTGGCAAAGAGAGCTCTGCAACCCCAAGGGACACAGCAGGAACAGAAAAACTCTTGCAATTGGCTTCCCTTCTCCTCAGTGAACTTGCATAGGTGAATCAAGAGCAGCCCCCAAGCTATGTCCCAGCTCTGGAACAAGAAAGGGCCCCTCTGAGCAACCTCCATGGCCACACAGGAGCGTCTGTGGGAGATGCTCAGTGGCAGGGAGCACCATCAGCTGGCTCTGCCTCCCAGCTTGAGCAGCACAGCCCCACAGAGTCCCCCATGGCCCCGGGCCCCACAGCCCCCCTGCTCTGCAGAGCAGCCCCCCCAGCTCGGGGGCTGTGGGGAGCACAGCAGGGGCTGCAGGAAGGGCTGCTCAGGCCAGCACAGACGTGTTCCCCTGGGGAAAGGCTCTGGGGGGAGATGGGATGTGCCAGGAGAAGAGCAGGACCGCCTGGGGGAGGAGAGGGGCCATGCAAAGAGGCTGCCCTGGCCCTGGGGCAGCAGGAGCTGCCCGAGCTGATGATCTCCTGAGCACTGCAGACACACAGGCCCTGGCCTGACCTCCATGGCCTCCATTTCTTGCTGCAGGGTCAGACCTGACTGGGCTGCTCTGCTGGGCTGGGGCAGGGGCAGGGACATGGGGGGACCAGGCAGGGCCTGCACTGGGCAGTGCCAGGGAGGGAAAACCCCAGTGTTGAGCTGCAGGGTGTGAGTGTGCAGGGGGGGGCTCTGCAGGGTCCTCACAAAACCAGCCCTCCTGGGAGGGATGGGAAGGAGCAGCAGAGCAGGGTCTGGCCTTTTCCATGTGCTGCACACCCTGGGAAAGCTGCCCCAGGACAGTGACCACAGACCAGCCAAGAACAATCACAATTGCCTTGTCCACCCCTCAGGCTGTGGGGCATCTCAGACAGGGCAGAGCAAGTGACACCCCGTGGGACTGAGGGGAAAAAGAGGCAGAATTAGAGATATGGAATATGTTCAAAACATTCAGGAGCTCCTCTGAGCAATCTTTCTTCATTTGAAACATTGGTAGGAAATTTATTTTGAGAAGTAACTGTACAAAGCTTTTCATACAGTGAGTGGATCAAGTCATAGAATATGGGTTTGGTTTTTCAGTGAAAAAAACTTATGAAAACATTATGGAAATTTATATAAATAAAAAAGCAACCCTTGAAATGTTGGACAGGCCTTGAGGAATTACCAAGAGTTCTGTTCTGCAGAGGCTTCCACTCTCTCCCAAAATCCACACTCATGTCTTCAGGCCATGACTTCCCAGAGCAGTCCCAGGGGTGGCCACAGCCCCAGAGATGCCCTGGGGCAGCTCCCGTGCCCAACTGTGAGAGGCAGGAAGAGCCCAGCTGGGGAGGGGCAGGGAATCCCCCACCTCCAGCCCTGCTGCACAGGCTGAGGAGGGTCCTCTCCAGCACAGCAGCACATCCTGTGCCCTTGGGGGCTGCGCTGCCAGGGCTGTCCCCAGGGACTGACTGGCCAAGGAGGGCAGGGAGATGCTCAGGGGTCAGGAGGGTCATCAGAAAGGTGTCCCCATCCAGATGAAAGGTTTTGGGGAGGTCAGGAGAACTGAGAAGAACTGGATGGGATATTTGGGTGAGGGAAAAGGAGATGTCCAACAAATATGAAAGATTTTGATGAGATAAAAACAGTTTCCGGTAATGCTGAGGGTGCTGAAACTGTGCAAACACTCCTGATGGACCTTTACTCTGTTTTTAACCTCAACACTTCCCAAAAGTGCTGCCCCTCCCACTGAAAGGAATCCACTGCTCTAATTCCAAGACAGAAAAAAAAACAACCCAGAATTCCAGAATCTTATTTGTACTCAATGCCCACCCCAATCCCAAACCTGCATTGTTAGTAGGAAAACACAAGCTTTAATCCTGACCCAGCCCAAAAAGCACTTCCCCTAATCATGAACCAGACCCTGCCAGCAGAACAACAAACCTGCCAAAGTTCTGCCCAATCCCCACCCTGAGCTCTAAAGCCCAAGCCCTGACCATGAAGCACCCCCAAAGCCCTTGGGAGCAGGGCAAGGACCTGCAGGGCCCAGAGCAGCCCCAAGGGGTTGGCAGAGCAATGGGAGGTGACCTGGATCTGCTCAGCTCTGCAGGGACCCCCAGCAGAAGGGCCTGGGCTCTCTCAGGGATGTCCTGGGGCACAGGGGCTCAGCATCCAAGCCAAGAAGGCCAAGTGCACATGGCAGCAGCCAGAGCTGGGGGACAGCAGAGCCATCAGGGAGGGCCCAGAAATGCTGCTGGGAGGGAGGTGGGAAAGCAGGAGGGGTGTGTGCAGCCTGCAAGGCCAGAGGAGTAGCAGGGCCAGGGGAGCCCAGCCTGCAGCAGAGATGGCCAAGGGCTCTGGCAGGGCTGCAAGGCCCAAAGGCACCCAGGCCTTGGTGCCCTTGGCTCTGGCAGCTGCCTCTGCCCCTCAGGCCACCATAAGCAACTTTCCTGGCAGCTTCTTCCCTTGGGTTCTGCCTCGCCCCTCCCTGAGCAGTCTGGTAGGGCTTGCACAGTTTTGGGTCTTTGTTGTTGCTCCCCCTCCCATCCCACTGCCCCCCAAACAGCCCTGAGCCCCCCAGCAGGGACAGGATCTGCTGGGCCAGGGCCTGGGGCTCAGCCTTGGCCTTTGTGCTCCCCAAACCCTTTGCTCAGCATTGCAGGGCCTGCCCAGAGCCTTTGTCTGCCTGCACTCCTGGCCTGCAAGGATCTGCTTTAAGGAGACCCTGGGGAGGCTTTGTCAGTGCCTGCCCTCAGTGGGGCCCAGCAATGCTTCAAGGGACTGGGAGCTTTGGCTTCTGACTTCTTGAGCACCTTCTTCAATCTTCTCTCAGTACCTCAGGATATTGACTTGTCTCTAAACACACTGCAGGGCTCATTAAAATACAGAAAAACAAATTATTTTCCTTCCATTTGTTGTCTTTATGACTTCAATTCTTGTACAGCTAATTGGAGTTGTTTTGTAGTTTAGCTGAGGAGGAAGATTTTAAAGTGGGTATCACAAAAATATAATTTTCTATGAAAGGCAATGATTTACACAGAACCTTTAGGTTGCAAGAGGGTGAGGGTGCAAAGGATCTGGGCACAAAGATAAGGGGGCAAAAGTGTTTAATAGCATATAATTATTGAGCAACTGATTGTTATCAAGCGATTCAATATAATTTGTTACAATTGAACAGTGACTGAATTATAGATTCCCAATAACAACATTCACACCACAGTCAATTCACACCCACACCCAGGCAGAGATGTGTGGACACATCAAGATCTGGGTGAGTAAAGGTCCCTCTCCAAAATTCTTCCTGTTGTCAGAGAAACACCCCCACACATCCCTTTGTGTTTCCCACCAGGCAAGGGTCACAGCTGGAGGAGTGTTTGTTGAGGGGGATCAGAATTGTCCTGGGCATAAGCAACGCTCTTTGCAGTGTTGCAAACTGGAGGGTTCCCGAGCTCCGAGAGGCTGCGAGAGGTGTCCCACTGAGAGGGAGGTGCTGGGGAGCTCCCAGGGCCTCCCTCAGCACCGCTGGCTGTGGGCTCACAAGGGCACCGGCTTTAGTTATCTGCTGAATTTCCATTCTCAGTAACGACTGGAGTTTCCAAAATATTTGGGAATTGTATCCAAACTGTTCCATTTGGGTTATGTTTCAGGTAGAGAATGTTTCAAGGCTTTCATGGAGTGACTCATTATCCTGTGTTCCCCAGCTCTTACACCAGCCTAAGTCAGCTGGATGGTTTATTGCCAATGTGTCCCAAGGGTCGGCACCTCCAATGCAATAGAAATGAACAACAACTTTACTAAAACAAAGAACCATCAGGAATAAAGCAAGGATCCTGCACTTACAGAGAAAACATCCCTCCAATGCTTCTGTCCCCTCTGGCTGCTGAGGTGGCAGCGCAGGCCCGAGGCCTGTTTCTGCCCTGCTCTCATAATACCTAAAAAATGGTCAGAGAATACAAACAATGCAAGCTCTCTCTGGTGAGTTACTGCTGGTGTCAAAGTTCTCTTTTTAGTGCTGCATTCTGCTAAACCCAAAATGCTTCATGAAACTTCCAAAACATCGCCTTCTTTTTGAAGCAGGATTGGACAGATAAGCTGCTCCCTGGCCTGGAAATATGTCTGGCAGCCAAACCCTTTCTAACTATAAAAGCCCCGTCCAACTTTCATGTGGCAGATTCTTCCCCAGACTTCCTTGAAGTGTGTGGAACTTCTCCCATGAAGCAGGGACAGCTCTTCATGGTCACTGCCCAGGGGTTAAGTGAAAGAGAGGGAACTACCCTCTGTCGTTGTGGGGTGAATTACCTCAGTCTCTACTTCAGGATTGTTTATTTTTGCTGCCCTTGATCCAATTGCTTTAATAGAATGACTAATAGACTGCACTGTCCAATCTTACACTATATTGCTAGGAGCTTTTGGCTTTTATACTGTACAGTAAAGAATTCTCTTTAAGGTCTTTCATCTGTTCACTTGTCTGATCAATTCTCTGTTCATTTCTAATAATAAATTGTACATTTTATAGAAATAGTTCTGATTTGCCATCACTAAAACCTTCAGGAAAGGGGGTTTTATTAACACCTCTATAATTCCTTCAATTTAAACCACAATCTGAGCCTGAGGTTGGATCCAGCCACAGCCAGGCTCCTCTCTAAGAAGGAATTTAGAAAGCAAGGAAGTCCTTTCTGCTCCTCGTAGCTCAATGAGAGGTTTCTCCAATAAACTTTGTCTAAGCCTATTACAGCTTGTCTGGGGAGATGGGGACGTTCACTCAGGGAGGTTCGAGACAGGACCGTGGGTTGAACCAGAATGAACACTTTATTGAAACGGCTTCCCCCTCATGCAGGGGCAGCAGGGAATCTTCCAGAAGGATGGGTGTGGGTATAACAAATATGGAAAGGGAAGGAGGGGCTTGCCCAAACCAGGCAACCAGGGGAGGGGTTACAATCACATATGGGCAAAGAGGGAAGGGTCTTGAACCATAAAAGGGACAATTACATTACAGCATTTTTTAGCCAATGGGTGAACAGGGAGAAAGAGACTAACAACTTACTTAGGGATTCCTATAAGGATTAGTACAGTATAAGAACTTTACATTAACAATACTAGAATTGAATTAACAAGGTCTTTAGTTTTTGAATGTCCTTAGTAGATCTGAACAACATCTTCTTTCTCAGTTGACTCCTTCAAGGTCTCCACAAATCTTCTGTAATGTTCTTCCTCTTCCTCTTCATGTCCATCTCCCACATAGAGCAAGCTGGAAACTAAACTGTCATTTGGGGTTATCCCAGATCTATTTGATTTCAGAAATTATTCAACACATGTTCCACCTCCTCCAGCCAACCCCAGGAGATCAACCTCCTCAGCAGCTGCAAGGGCGGGGTGTTCATGTGCCCGCTGCCATCTCCCAGAAGCCATTATCCCACTCCTGCCGAGAAGATGGGGAAGATGAGTATCTACCTCACAGCATCTGCTGCTGCAAGAAGAGTGTGTCCCAAGTGATGTCCTCAGCCTTCTCAGAGGGGACGTCAGATCCACTCCAGGGCCGGTCCCAGCCCTTCCCAAGCCGGACCCGGCACCAGCTCCAACTCTTCCTTATGAAACAAACAACAAATTCACGAAAAGAGATGACAAACAAAAAGTGGAAACGAGAAAGAAAGGTCAAATGTTAACATTCTGTCAGGGTTCTGAGGAAGGCCCAACCCCTCCATGCAAAAGAAAACCCCTGCTCCTCCAGCTAAGGCAAACCCATGCCTTCTCCCTGCCCTGCTGCACTGCCCCAAAGAAAGGGTCCCAAGCCAAGGCAGCCCAAGCCTCTCCTCGCCTGCAGCCCAAAGCAGCTGGTGCCCAGGTTCTGCAGCCCCACCTTTGCTCCCCCCACAGGGGTTTGTTTCTGTCAGGCTGGTGTCCCTGGCCCAGCCCCCGCCCAGGGCAGGGCGAGTGGCAGAGCCAGGCTCCCCTTTCACAGCCACCCCAGAGCACCCGTCCACCCCCTGCCAGGAAGCAGCTTGGCAGCAGCTGAAGAACAAAGCACATTCCCCAGAGGCCAGCAAAGGGGGGAACCCTCGGTGCCCAGCCAGGCTGTGCAATGCCCACGCCTGGGAGCACCCCTGGGTGTGGACTTATCTGCAAAGGGGCCGTGGAGCATGGCTTGGAGGAATGGGCCACAATCAAAGGCCATCATCTTCAGCTCGCCGGCGTCCAGGTCAACCAAGAGCTTGTCATCCTTGGTGCCGTCCTTCATGTCTCCAGCAGCAGGCCCACCCGGCACAGCTTCTCCAGAGGCCCCTTCTCCTTCCCTGTGGGCGAGACCAGGCTGTCAGCGTTCTGCCAAGGGCCCCAGCTGTCTGTGAGGTGGGACGAGCAAAGCCAGGTTAGATGGTGGCCACCAGCGCCTGGGAGACCAGCCAGGCTCTGCAGTCCAGCTCCAGCACAAAGAGGGGCGTGTTCCCAGGGGATGATTCCCCCCAGTGCTATGTGCAGGACAAAAAAGTTTGGTTTTCTTTGCTTCTTGTTGCCAAGAGATGTGTGGAGGTGTTACTTGCCAGGCCCCTGGATCAAACTGAGCACGTGGATCTCTCCCGTCTCCTAGGGCAGCTGAACGCCCTGCACCCAAGGATGGCAGAATAGGTCTTCCAACGATGGCCTGTCCGAGGGGCGGATGGACAAACACCACCTGATAAGGTGCTGGCACCCTGGGGGGAGAAACCAGAAATGGCCGGTCAGTTGGAGAAGGATCCTGTCCCCTTTGTCCCGCTGTCCACGTGCCCAGGCTGTGCTGGCTGTGCTCAGAGCTGTGCCTACACTTCCCGATCCATGCTCCATTTTGGAGGAGAGCAGGATGGCAGGACACAAGCCACCTCCTCCAGCCAACCCTGGGACAGAAACAGCTTCAAGAGCGGGATCCTCGTGAGCCCCCTGCCCTCTCCCAACACCGGTATTGCCCCTCGGCCACAAAGATTGGTATCCACCTTGAGAGACCCATCGTGGGAACGGGAGCTGGTCCCAGATGGTGCTCCTGCCTTTCCAGAAAGGGTGCTCCCCGCAGACCATCTGGTAGAGCAGGATGCCCAGGGACCAGATTGTTGCCGCCTCGCCGTGGTAGCTTTTGAGCCAGATCCACTCTGGCGGGCTGTACGACGGTGTTCCTATGGAATACAGACGGAGTTCAGCAGGTGGGTGCTGCCTGCTCCCAGAGCCTCGCCCCAGCATCCCTGGGAATGTGGGGCCTGCCCCAGAGGCACACGGTGTGACCCACTGCCTTCTCGCCGGCACCTGACTCGTTTCCAAACTCTGGCTTGTAGAAAGAGCCGCTGGTGTCCAAGAGGGCAGCAAAAGCCCTGGGAAGGCCCAACCATTCCATGCAAGGGAAAGACCCACCCAGTGGTGGGGAAAAGCCATGCCTTCTCCCTGCCCCACTGCACTGCCCCCAACAAGTAATCATAAGGCAAGGCAAACAAGGCGAGTGGAGCAGCCCAAGCCCTTCCTTGCCTGCACCCCAAGCCAGCTGGTGCACAGGTTCTGACCCCCTTCTCTGCTGCCCTCAGGGGTGTTTTTGTCAGGCTGGCTTCCCCTTGCCCCAGACCCAGCCCAGGACAGGGCAGGTGGCACAGGCTGTCCGGCAAGGCCGGGGCCTGTCTCACAATAACCCCCCAGCCCCATCCAAAAGCAATTTGGCTGAAGAACTAATCCTTGTTCCCCCTCAGCAAAAGGGACAATCTGCGGTGTCACACCCGGCCACGGCCACGCGATGCCCGGGACCAGGAGCATCCCCTGCCCGTGGGCTCACCTGCAAACTGTGTGTAGGCCGTGTCCTGAAGGAACGTGCCACATCCAAAGTCAATGAGCTTCGCCTCACCGGTGGCCAGGTCGAGGATGATGTTCTGGGGCTTGATGTCCCGGTGCAGGACGCCGCAGCTGCTGCAGTGCCGCACGGCCTTCAGCACCTGGCGGAACAGCCCCCACGCCATCTCCTCCGGCAGGAACCTCCACGCCGTGATTAAGTGAGAGAGGTCCTGAGAGCACTCCGGACGTTCCATCACCAACAAGAAACTGTTGGGGAGCTCGAACCACTCCAGGAGCTGGATGACCCCGCGAAACCCATTGGACACCTTGTCCAGCAGCACGATCTCCAGGGGTGCCCGGGTGCCATCAGGCTGCGGGAGGAGCACGATGTCATCAGTGGGGCCGATGCCGTGCCTGTCTGCCTGCTGCCCCTCCGCCAGCCCTGCATGCTCCCCGCCCCCCACTGACCCCATGCCCACTGTCCCTCCAGGTGTCCCGGCGGCTTCCACCCTCCCGGGCCTCGGCTCGTCCCCGCCCGTCACGCCCCGCTTTCTCCCGCCGGCCCCGCTCACTCACCAGCTCGCCCCACTGCTGGATGCCATCCCGGGACACGCATTTGATGGCCACCTGCAAGGCAAGGGCAACGGCGGGTTGAGCTCGCCGCCCGTCCCACTCTCCTCCTCCTCCGTCTCCTCCTCCTCCTCCTCCGTCTCCTCCTCCCCACTCACCGGGGCTCCGTCCGCCAGGCGGGTCCCCGCGTAGACGCGGCCGAAGCCGCCGCTGCCCAGCAGCGAACCCACCCGGTACCGCTTCTGCAGGGGCTCCTTCGCCTTCCGTGCGGGCGAGACGTGGCCGTCAGCGTTCGGCCCGGGGCCCGGCACGGCCCCCGAGCGCCCCTCAACCGCCCCGGGCCGGGCTGCCCCACCCGCAGCGGGCACCGGCGGCTCGCTGCCGGCGGCCGGGCTGCCGAGCGGCGGAGCTCTGCCCGGGGAAGCCGCACAGGAGGCGGCGGCGGCCGCGGCGCCCGTGTCCCCCGCCGGCCCCGGGAGGCGCCGGGGCCGCGGCAGGCGGAGCCAAGGGGCGGCCACGCCGAGCCCGGCCCAGACCCAGCCGCAGAGGAGCGCCCAGCAGCGCCGCAGCCGCCCCGCCGGCAGCCGGCCCAGGGCCACACCGCGCCGGGCCGCCCGGGGGCGGGGACGGGGACGGGGACGGGGCAGCCCCGCCCGGGAGAGGGGGCCGGCCGGGGGCATGGCCCGGGCCGGCAAGGGGAGGGGACACCGGGAACAGGACAGGGACACCGGGAGAGGGAGAGGAGGAAGAAGAGCAAACAGAAGAGTAAGAGCGAGAGTAGATCGCTCGAGTCGCTGCTGCTGCCGCCGCTGCTGCCGCCGCTGCTGCTGATGCCGAAGCGCTGGGGCCGTTTGTCCGTTTGTCCGTTTGTCCGTCCCCCGTTGGCCCCCGCGCGCCCCGGGGGCAGCCCCGGCCGCTCCGCTCGGAATCAGCCCCGGCCGGAGTCACGGAGCTCCCCTTCCTCCCGCACCCACGCCAAGACCACGGCTTTTTTAGCTGCTTCACTTTATTTTCACTTCTTTGGTGGCAATCTTGCAACTTGCCACCGCTGCTCGGCATCCCCGGACCCCATCCCACCCGCTCGGCCCGCGCTGCTGTCGCAGGGGTCCAGGGTGGCCCCCTGAGCTCCCAACCTGCTGTGGGGGTCTGAGGGCTGCTGGGGGGGCACCCCCTGACCTGTGTCCCTGCACACGCAGGGCTGTTGCAGTTCCTGGAAAAAGCCAAGTGAACGGCCCCAGCCGGGAGAGCTTCCTGCACGGGTACATCTAAACCTGGGAGCAGCTCAGGCACTTCACCAGAGATTTGGGCACCTGCTGGGGGACACCCCGTGTAGGGAGACCCAGGCCAGGCACTGGAAAAGCCAACGGGAGTTACTGGAGAACACACAGGATCAGGGGAACATGAACTGCTGGAGCAACTACGGGAATGTGGCCCCGTGTGCCTGGCCTGGGGAAATGAGAGCAAGGCCTAAAGAATTAACTGAAATATCTTGAATGCAGCAGCTGCAGTTCTCTGGCATTGCTGGAGACAAAGGCAGGAACTCAGGAGCTCTGCAGAGCCCTGACAGTGCCACTGCAATCACAAGCTGCATTGCCCAGCTCAACACTCAGCACAGCCAAGGCCACAACACTTCCTGAAAGGTGTCCCTTCTGGGGAGGGCCAGGGGGACAAACCCCTCCATCTGTGTGTTTAGATTTGGTGTCCAATTCTCATCTCTCACTTAGGGACAAAGTCAGGGTACATTTTATACCTCATTTAACCAAGACTGTGCAAAGTGCTGTGGGTGAGACTGTGGTCCAACCTTCCATTTATTTTGTGGGGACATTGTACAGAGTATTTCTTGGTAGGAGGTGCACTTGGTTTGTACCAAACATCTCTGAGTATCAAGGAGAAGAACAAGACCACGCAGCTTCCACCCTGCTTCTTGTTCCTCCCTGATGCTGTGGCAACCCAGCCCAGGACTGTCATCTGATTGCTGTGTCTGTTCTGATCCCCATGGGTCCCATGGCGGGTTGAGCTTTGCATTTCCTTCCAACCCACACCCCCTCCCAGTCTGGCAGAGTCTGTCCCCCTGAAGAACACAAGACCTGACTCTTTGTAGTTCCCACTGCAGGGGCTGGAACTTGGGCCATGATCTGTGCCAGGAGGTCCCTGGAAAGAGAAACTTCTTGGCAATGGAGTTATTAGGAAAAAAAGACGGGCTGTGGGGATCAGTGTCAGGGCATGGCCTGGGAAGTGCCTTGAGCATCCTCCTGTTTACCATGACCAGCTTTTTCATCCCCTTTTCTCTCTGTTTTCTCACACCCATCCCTTCATAAACCACTGTGATCCCACCATTTCCTTTCCTTTGATTCTTCCCTAGAGATCCCAGGACAGGTCTTCCTCAGTCCCCAAATGTGCTTTTTTGTGTCACAAGTCTCAGACCCCAAGCATGAAAACCCCAGACACGTTTGTGAGGTCATCCTGGGAGGCTCTGCCATTGACCCTTCATTGACCTCCTTCATTGTGGTGGAGCCTTCACACAGATATTTTGGAAACTGTCTTTGAATTATTTTTTTACCTTTTGAATTAGAAGGGTTTCTCCAAAACCATGGCAATTCATGTCCTCAACATGGAAATTCTTTGGAGAAGGAGTTTGAGACTCAAAAAATCACAGAATGGTCTGGGTTGGAAGGAAGATCAAAATTCATCTGGTCCAAGCCACTGGACATGGACAGTGACATCTTCCACTAATTCAGAACACTCACAGTCCTTGACCTTGGAAAAATCCAGGCATGGGACATCCACTTCTCTGGAAACCTGTTCCAGTTCTTGCCACCCTTACTGTACAATCTTTCCTCCTATTATCCAATAAAAAACTCTTCTCTTTCAGTTCAAAGCCACTGTCCCATGTTATGCCACTACAGGCCTTGGTAAAAAGTATCCCTGTGATTTTCTTAGACTTTGAGCAGGACATTTTCATCTGCAAAAACATTACAGAGTGCCCAGAGATCTCCCCAGAGAGGGTTTCAAGGTCTCAAGCCCATGACCACTATAGAGGGGCTAAGGAGTTGTGGCCTCAATGGTGTGGAGACTGAGGACAGTACAGGAGAGCCCTCAGAGGGCTTGAAGGGAGGATTTAGAGATGGTGGATCCTTTTGTCATAGCAGAAAACAGCAGGAGAAAGAAAGAAATAATGCCAAGTATAGCTGGGGAGGTCCAGAGTGGACAAGAGGAAAAAGGAATTTCACTCCAAGGGCAGTGCTGTGGTGCAACACATCAGCCAGGAGGAGTCTGGATGAGCCCAAGGCTTGGTGTGTGCAGGAAGAGCCAGGGAGGACGCAGAGATGTCAGTGCAGGAAGGGGCCAGCCAGGTGGGGCAGCCGGGGGGATGACGACAGCCTGCAGGGAAAGGGGCAGGGCATGGACACCCTAGGACAGCCTGGGCTGCACAGGGAGAAGCCTGTGCAGAAGCTGAAAGGCCCTGACACAGCCACCTTCTGCAGGCCTTTGGCCATGGCTGCTGGCTGTGCCCCTGATGCCAGGAGGAGACGAGTGGCCCTTGCAGCCCTGGGGCCTCCTGGCCTCCTTGTCCCTGCTCAGCAGCCTGGCAGGTGCCACTCCATTGTCCTGCCCTTGGCACTGCACATCCCACATCCCAGTGCCCCAGGAAGAGCCCTGAGCAATGAGGCAGGGACAGGATCTGCCTTCCCAGGGTCTGGGGGTCAGGCCTTGGTCGTTTGGATTAAGGAAACAAGTCAATGTTTATTCAACATCAGAGCCACCTTTGCCTTGCTTATCCATCCTTGTCATCACTGTCCGCAGTTTTCTGCTCTAACTGGAACCTGGGGACGTTCTCAGTTGTGTCCCTCAGTGAGACTCATTAGCACTGCAAGAAACTTTAGTGTTTCAATCTCACTTTGACTTCTTGAGAAGTTGTTTGAACATCCTCTCAGGGACTGCCTCATGTAAATAACCCCAAAGTCCTCAAGGGTGATGAAATGCCTGGGGCTGTTGCTGTGCTGCTGAGCTGGGCTGGGCTCCTGGCACACAGGGAGCTCCTGGTAACCAAGAAGAGCTTCAAAGACACAGCTCTGCTGCTGAACAGCTCCTCTGCACAGCCCAGCAGGGCTGAGGGCACTGCCTGCAGCACCCAGGGCACAGGAGAGAAGGAGAGAGGTGAGAGGCAGCCTGGGCTGGGAGGGGACTGAGCTCTCACTACAGGAGAAACATTCACAGGATTTGACTGAAGAATTCTCTGCCTGTAGGAAAATTAAACTTCCCTTCCTGCAGGGATCTCCTAAAGCTGCCACATCCCACAGCTTGTAGGATCTTTCAGAAGGCCTCTCCCAGTCCCTGCAGGGCAGAGGAAGTGGCCCTATGGCAGAGCAGGGCAGGAGCTGCAGGCAGCAAGGGCAGCCAGGAGAAGGGAGCAGGAGGTGAAAGAGATCGTGGGCTGGGAGGACAGGGCAGAGCTGCTCAGGGGAGGAACCTTGGCAGCCCTTTGGCACGGGAAGGCTGTGGCTGCAGAGCAGTGCAGGGGAGTTGCTGCCAGTGGCTCTTGCAGCTGCCAAATGCCAGCCCTGGCAGGAGCTGTCAGGATGGCTGTGCTGGCTTTGCTGGGGGGCAGCAGGAGAAGCTGCTGCAGAGCAGGACTTGCTGCTGCCCCATCAGAGGCCCAGGGCCAGAAGGTTCCCTGTGCCAGGGCTGGCTGTGGGGTGGGAAGGTGGGGGTGCAGCCAGGGGTGCCCAGGGCTGTGGGGCAGAGCAGGGTCCTGCCCCCCAGGGCTGTGTGTGCTGGGGCAGGGACTCTGCTGCCTACCAGGGGCAGCTCTCAGCCCGGCCAAGGAGCTGCCACGGTCCTGGCATTTCTCTGCCATCCTGTTGCCTGGGCTCTCCTTGTTCTCACCCTTGGCTTTTCTGATTCAGTGTGGGGTTTGGGGGGGCAGATTCCTGTGCAGACACAAACCCTTTGGGTGCTGCTGTGGGGATGTGTCTGTGGGAGCAAAGTGCCCAAGTGCCCTCCAGGCAACTTCAGGCTCTTCAGCTGTTTCCCTGGGTGTCTTGCAGGGCTGTAGGTGCCCTCCAGAAGGGCACTGCTGTGCCATAGTATCTCTATGCTGCACAGGATCCCCGTGGAGAAAACTCCTCAGTGCTAACTCCATGGAAATGCTCTGGGCAGCTGCAATGAGCGTTTGGTGTCTCACTCTGAGAGGGGAGAAATGAGAAGGTGAGGAGTGTGTCAGTCTGTTCTTTGGACACGGATTCCTGGCTATCTGTGCAGTTTCTGTGTAGGGGAACAGTTGGGTGTGATGCTCCTGCAGCTCCAAGCTGCCAGCACAGGGCAGCTGAGCACAGACTGATGGGCAGAGCAGCTCTTCTGTCTGCACTGAGGGACTGTCCCTGTGCCCTCGGAACCCAAAAGACTTGACCTGCAGTGCCATAGAAATGTCAGGGATTTCCAGCATCCACAACCACTCCTAACTGTGGCAGGTGCAACTGGGGGAACAAACACAAAAAATTTCCTCGGCTCAGTCCATTTGGGCAAATTGGAAACAGCAAAGCTGAGAAGCTCTTGGATGTATCAGGACCACATTTAATTGGAGATCACCCTGCATTCCAAGTTCCTTCTGCCAGCAGAGCAAGAAGGAGTCCTTGGGAGCCCATCCACGACTTCCTGCTTCCAATGGTGCTCTCAGGCAGAAACAGCCAGAGCT